GCCATCTAACATCATGTAATAATGTTCTAATTTTAAAAAATTGTTTTTATTAGCATTTTATACCGCATTATGCAATCCTTATAAGAGTTTTTTTTTCTTTCTAAATATAAAGACTTGGAGTACAATGAGATATTTTGAGTGTCAATAATAACACCCTGAATAGCGGCAGTTTCTTAATTTTATTATATAACAAATTTATACATTCAAGTGAAACTTTAAAGTTAGAGGTTTGATGTTTTCTTTTTCTTTCATGTTTGGCTGTTTAAAATAAAACTATTTTTGATTATTTAGTGAAGGTTATATTTGTAGTTCTTTTTACTTATCATTAAGGATATTTGTAAATATGCAATCAGTGAGTGCTAAAGTTTGTTTTGAATTTTTTTTTTGAACAAACAATATTATCTACGCTAAGAGTGTGGGAGAGTGAGCTAACAATAATGTGGTTCAAATTTGTCTAGTACTAAGTGGCTTTGTTTTAATTTAAGTGAATGTTTTCTAGTATTAATATATTGTCATACTTTTTTAAAACTTAAAACTATCTTAAGGATGACCCTTTTTACAAATTTCGCACAAGGCCTCCAAAATCTCAAAGACGGCCCTGATTACATGCAGCAAGTATGTAGCAATTATGCTTGTTGATAGAAGATTTTAAATTCATGCCGAGCGAAAGTAAACCATCAGTTTTCCACTAAAAGGGTGACCCAAGACAATAAGGCTCCTCCTCTTTGTAAGGGTCAGACAACGTATATTGTACCCAGCAGTGCATACTATTTACCTCTCGCTTTTTTGCATCCACCTGAAATATTTGGGAAACGACGGGTCGTTTTCTATCTGAGTTCTCAGCTCTTCCCGCCGGAAATCCTTGCTGCTCAACGACTCCGATAACTCGTAGTCTCATGCAAACTACCCTTACTATTTCGTCCTTCTATGGGGTAGAAAATGACATTACAAGTTTTCACTATTTCTGGATTGACCCCAAAATGTTTTGTCGTATTTCATATTAGTTCTATTCAGGTACCGTTTTTATAGTTTGAAACAAAGAGGGAGCTTCTGCTCAGAACCGTTAAATTTCCCGCGTTTTTTCCATCTTCTTCTTCTTCATGCGTAATCTGTTCCTCCATATCCACGGATTATTTCCCAAAATACCCTTCAATCTCAGCCCCTCGTCTTCCTTCTCAGCCTACGCTTCTTATTCTTATTCTTCTGCAAATGTTCACGAATTCTCGTCACTCTTAAAACAATTTGCACAAAACCTTATCTGGGTCAAATCCATTCATGCTCAGATCATCATTAATTCTATATCTAATGACCAAATTCTGGGTACAAAGCTCGTTAAAGCGTACTCGGATTTGGGAAGTTTGGATGATGCCCGCCAAGTGTTCGATCAATTTCCTCAACCAGAAACCATTCTATGCAATGCCATGGTTTATGGGTATTTGAGAAAAGAGAGGTACAATGAGAGCCTTGAGTTGTTTAGTTTGATGGGTTCTTGTCATTTGGAGATTGATAGTTATACGTGTAATTATGCGCTCAAGGCGTGCATGGGCTTATTGGATTACAGAAGGGGGATGGAAGTTATTAAGAGAGCTGTGGATAAAGGAATTGAAAGTGATCGATTCCTGGGGAGTTCAATGATTCATTTCTTGGTGAAGTTTGATAAGATTGATTGCGCGCAAAGGTTTTTCGATAGGATGCCCGAAAGAGATGTTGTTTGTTGGAATTCCATGATTGGTGGCTATGTGCAATCTGGTCAGTTTAGTAAGGCAGTTGATATGTTCATAGAAATGTGTAGTTGTGGGGTTAAGCCAAGTCTGGTTACTATGTTAAGCTTGATTCAAGTTTGCATTAAAAGTGGGGATTTCAAGCTTGCAAAATGTGTTCATGGATGCATAGTTAGACTGGGAATGGGTAATGAGGTTTTACTACATACCTCGCTGGTGGATATGTATAGTAATATGGGTGACATGCAAAGTTCCTTTTCTGTTTTTGAGACCATGCCCATCAGAAGTTTGGTTTCGTGGAATGTCATGATATCGGGGTGCATTCAAAATGGTCTGGTACACGAGTCTTTTGGTTTCTTCCACAGATTGGTCACAGATGGTGGTACGTTTGATTCGGGAACCATGGTGAGTCTTGTTCAGGGATGTTCTCAAACAGCTGATTTGGAAACTGGGAAAATCCTGCATTGTTGTGTTTTTAGGATGGGTTTTGATCCAAATCCTATTTTGTCTACTGCCATTGTTGATTTGTACTCTAAATGTGGTGCAATAAAGCACGCAACATTTGTCTTTGATAGAATGAAAGAGAAGAACGTGATTACATGGACGGCCATGCTGGTAGGATTGACGCAAAATGGGCATGCAGAAGAAGCCTTGAAACTGTTTAGTCAGATGCGAGAAGAGGGAATTGCTGCTAATTCAGTGACTCTTGTTAGTTTAGTCCATTCCTGTTCACATTTGGGCTCTCTGAAGAAAGGCAGGAGTGTTCATGCTCATTTGATCCGGAATGGGCATGAAGTTGATGTAGTTACCATGACAGCCTTGATTGACATGTATGCGAAGTGTGGAAAAATAAAGTATGCTGAGAGAACATTTGAAAATGGCGCCTTTTGTAGAGATGTTATCCTATGGAATTCTATGATAACTAGCTACGGTATTCATGGATGTGGACTGCAAGCTCTTGGTATCTATAGAAGAATGAAGGAGGAGGGGTATAAGCCAAATGGAACCTCCCTTCTTTCTCTTCTAACTGCTTGTAATCACTCTGGACTTGTGGAAGAGGGTATCGAATTATTCCACAGCGTGGAGAGAGACTGTGGCATTAGGCTGACTGAAAAACACTATGCTAGTTTTGTGGATCTTTTATGCCGAGCAGGCAGACTTGACGAAGCCGAGGCATTGATTAAACAAATGCCTTTCGAACCAGGAAGTTCTGTTTTTGAAGCATTGCTGAATGGATGTCAGGTTCACAAGGACATTGATATTGGTATAAAGACAGCGGATAGATTACTTTGTATAGATTCCATGAATCCTTCAATTTATGTTGTGATATCAAACATTTATGCTCAAGCACGGAGATGGGATGCTGTAAATTATATCCGAAACCTCATGAGGACAAGGGGACTCAGAAAAATACCGGGGTATAGCTTGATTGAAGTCGGAAACCAGGTTCATACATTTTTTGCAGGAGACAACTCTCATCCGAACTGGGCAGAGATATATCAGCATTTAGAGGATTTAAGAGCAGCAGTGGAGGCTTCTGGTTATGTCCCGGATACAAGTTGTGTTCTTCGTGACGTGGATGAGCCGATGAAGGTCAGGTTGCTATGGGGACATAGTGAGAGATTAGCCATTGCATTCGGACTTTTAAACACGCCCGCGGGAAGCTTGATTAGGATCACCAAGAATCTGCGTGTGTGTGTTGACTGTCACAACGTGACTAAATATATATCCAAGATAGTGAGGAGGGAACTTATTGTGAGAGATGCCAATCGTTTCCATCACTTTGTCGATGGGAAATGCTCTTGCAATGATTACTGGTGATGGGGGTCGTCTTCTCGTAAAGGAGGACTTCCATTAAACGGCAATGCCAAGGTAACGGTGTTTCACACTAATCATGTGATGCCATGTAAGAAATTAATCTACGTGACGATATAGGGATTTTGCTTTGATACAAGCATACCATTTTTTTTTTTTTTGGGATTACACGTTTGAGAACTTACATTTACACATTTTCCAAATCTAGAGGCTTAACATATCATGACATGTATTCTACCGACACTTTGTGAGGCTTGACATGCCCACCCCTGATATATTATCAACTTATAAATCTCTAACAGCCTAATAATATTAATAATCCATCAAATTAAATAACTAACAACCTAATTATACTAAATTGATTATCCAAGTAGGCAGTAGGCAATTTGGTTTAGTTGAAGCGATTTTTCAATAGGTCAAAATGAACCAAACAGAACTAATTGCAGTTTGGTTCGATTGGTTCAAGATTTCACTTTGTTAGATGAAAACTGAATCAAGGTGTTTTGATTGATTTGATTTGGTCGGTTTGAATGGTTGGACCTTTTTTATCCACCACTAATTAGCAGAACAACCGACCACGCAACTCCAAGTCAGAGAAAGTTTTGTATATCTATATTTTTGCACTAGAGAGAAGGAAAGTTCGGCTAAGTCACATAATAAACAACCTAATTTGGTATCGAATTCGTCATTTATAAGATTCGAACCTAAGATCTCTCACTTACAAGTAAAAAAGAATACCATCAAACCGTAATATTGAGTGACATCTAGAATACTTATTACATAATGTATCTTTTACGTGTTATAATATGAGTGAATGATAATGATATGATTGATACGTCTCGCTTCTACGTGATTGATACGTCTTGCTTCTATAATATTAATATGCGCAAGCCTGATAATTTCTTGTATGATGCATTAAAATGACATGGAAATAATAGCTTTTGGATCAACATGTTAACATGTTAGGTAGTTATCGGATCATCTGTTAAGAACATGTTAATAAGTCGGATCGTTCTCAGGTCACTCGTTAAGATAACGGGCATGACACGAACACGACTCGCTTGTCAAGTCTAGACATTAGATATGACAATTTCTTACATGACTCGGTAATCCGACACAAAACAACACGAAAAATAACAGATTTTAGGTCAACTCATTAACAAGTCAGGTCATTATCGGATCACCTATTAAAAAAAATTTACACAACACAATCTATTAAGATAATGCTATTACACGAAAATGATACAAATCCGATAAACAACACCCATTTGCCAAGTCTAATTATACGGACACGTGTTATAATTTGAATAAAATTTTAAAATAATAATAAAGATTGTAACACGTGTCGATTACACCGAAATATTGCTTTTCCAAGTTGGCAGTAGGCACAGTAACTAACAAAACGGCGACGCTTATTAGTGGTCCTTCTCCGACGTATGAAAAAGACAGCTCAAAACTGTAGAAGTGCCACTGCTCTCTCTCTCTCTCTCTCTCTCTCTACAGGGCCTCTGCAGATCCTTCCATCAGCAGATGATGAGTGAGAAAGTAGAGAGAGAAAATGACAGCACGGCTTGAAAAATAAAATAAATTTCCAAAACAAAAGCCCCCCACTTTACTGCCACTGTTGTATTTGTATTGTATCTCGCTTTGTGTTCCGCCCTTTTTCTTCCGTCACTTTCTCGGGAAAATTGGATTCGGCCGCGAAGGTGAGTGGGATTCTCTCTCTTTTGGCTCTTACCCGGATCAGTTTGTTTTCGCATTTGTTTTGATATATTTGGATTTGCTGGTTGTTGTTTGTTCTTGAGCTCATTTGATTTTCAATTGGTGTTCTTGAGATTATTTTCTGATTATTTGGGTACTATTGGGTTTGAGTTTGATATGGATTTGGATATTGCTGTTGGGTTAGCTCCGTTTGGTTGTGGAGAAAATTTGGGAAAAAAAATGGAAGAAAGAAAAAAAAAATCGTGATTTGGAGTTACTTTTCTGCTAAGAATGAAGGCAAAGAACTATTAATTTTTGTGGAAAAAAATGGTTTCTTTGGATACTTTAAAGTTATTTTTGTAGTAAAAATTGAGAATTTCCATTAATTTGACGATCAATGAAAAATGGAAAGTAGTTAGCTGCTTGGTTCATTTTGTATTTAGAAGATGCAAAATGCAAGCCGAAAATGGAATTTCAGAATTGATTTCTTTGAGTGTTTGGAAAGAGGAAACTTATAGAGAATCAGGACGAGTTCTTTAGACGCTGCTCTCACTACGAATACCCACAAACAACTGCCTATTTGGCTTGAGTTTGCGTGAAAGGCGTGTTTTGTTAGTAATTTTGCGTTTTTCCATGGTCTTGCTGTGCCGCGAGGTTACAGCGCTAATCCTTTGCTTGAAAGAAATAAATTCACAAACTACGGCTATGGAGTATGGTTCTAAAAAGACTTGAATTGGGATGTTTTTGTTTTTGGGTATGTGACACGCCCCAACCCCGATATCCCCACATACTAGGTAGGCACGTGCTGGCCGACACCCGAGGGTGACGAAACCATTAAAAACATGCATATCTTTTATTTGTATGCATGTTTTTAATGGCTTCATCACCCTCGGGTGTTGGCCAACACGTGCCTACCCTGGTATGTGGGATATCAGGGTTGGGGCGTGTCAGTATGGCTTGCTTTTCCTGGTATTTGGGCAATTTTTTTATAGTTACAGTGTGGATATATTTGCAAATCGTTTTGAAACTTGAAAGCTCTTTCTCTCAATCGTTGAAATCAGAACACGTTTGTAATTGTTACATAAAATGTTACATGTATACACAGGTATGTATAAGAACCAATTGCAAGAGTTAGCGCAGAGAAGTTGCTTCAATTTGCCATCTTATTCATGCATTCGGGAAGGACCAGATCATGCTCCTCGATTCAAAGCAACTGTCAACTTCAATGGAGATACTTTTGAAAGTCCTACATTCTGTCCTACTCTTAGACAGGCCGAGCATGCTGCAGCGGAGGTAGCATTGAACACACTTGCAAAAAGAGGCCCTTCCAGAGCACTAGCTGCAAGAGTATTGGTTAGTAGCAAAATTGTAGTTTGTGATAGAGAGGGTAATCACCCAATGTGTGTGGGATAGAGAGGGGGAAGCTAGCCAAATGTGGGTGATTACCTTCTCTTTGAAAATGGCTTGTTTTTCTTCTTTTAGAGAGGGGGAAGCTAGCCAAATGTGGGATTCCATGGCTAGTTGTATCCGAAAAGTAGCAAAAGAGGTATTAGGAGAGTCCAAGGGCTTTGCCCCACACCAAAAGGAATCTTGGTGGTGGAATGAGGAGGTACAAACAAAGGTGACGGCTAAGAAGGAATGTTGTAAAGCCTTATACAAGGAGAGGACCGATGAAAATGGTGAAAGGTATAGAAAAGTGAAGCAAGAGGCGAAGAAAGCTGTCAGAGAAGCTAAGTTAGCGGCTTACGACGATATATATAAACGACTAGATACCAAAGAAGGAGAGTTGGATATCTATAAACTATCTAGAGCAAGGGAAAAGAAGACAAGGGACCTAAACCAAGTGAGGTGCATCAAGGATGAGGATGGAAAGGTTCTTGCTACAGAGAACGCGGTTTTAAAGACAGATGGAGAGGTTATTTTCATAATCTCTTCAATGCAGGACATGAAATGAGTGCTTCTTTAGGGGAGTTGAGTAACTCAGAAGAGTGTAGAAACTACTCTTTTTATCGTCGAATCCGGAAGGAAGAAGTGGTTGTAGCTTTGAAGAAGATGAAGCATAAAAAAAGCAATAGGCCCAGACGATATACCAATCGAAGTGTGGAAACTTTTGGGAGAGACAGGTATAACATGGCTCACTGACCTTTTCAATAGGATTTTGAAAACGAAGAAGATGCCAAATGAGTGGCGAACGAGCACTTTGGTGCCTATCTACAAGAATAAGGGCGACGTACAAAATTGCATGAACTATAGGGGTATTAAGCTAATGAGTCATACAATGAAGCTCTGGGAGAGAGTCATTGAGCATAGATTGAGGCAAGAGACACGGGTTTCGGACAACCAATTCGGGTTCATGCCAGGGCGCTCAACCATGGAGGCAATCTATCTCTTACGAAGATTGATGGAAAGATATAGAGATGGGAAAAAGGATTTACACATGGTCTTTATAGATTTTGGAAAAAGCGTATGATAGGGTCCCAAGAGACATTCTTTGGAGGATTTTAGAGAAGAAAGGAGTACGAGTAGCATATATCCAAGCTATAAAGGATATGTATGAAGGAGCAAAGACTGCCGTAAGAACTCATGAAGGACAAACCGAAAGCTTTCCCATAACTGTAGGATTACATCAAGGCTCATCCTTAAGTCCTTACCTTTTTGCGTTGGTAATGGATGAGTTAACAGGACATATTCAAGATGATATTCCTTGGTGTATGCTGTTCGCAGACGATATAGTGTTGATAGATGAAACTCAGGAAGGGGTAAATGCAAAGCTTAACCTTTGGAGAGAAGTGTTGGAATCTAAAGGTCTTCGCCTAAGCCGATCAAAGACAGAATATATGGAGTGCAAGTTCAGTGCAAATGGAGGCCAAAACGAGTTAGGGGTGAGGATCGGAGATCAAGAAATACCAAAGAGCGACCGTTTTCGTTACCTAGGATCTATCTTGCAAAAAAACGGAGAATTAGATGGAGATCTCAACCATAGAATACAAGTTGGATGGATGAAGTGGAAGAGTGCATCCGGCGTGTTATGTGACCGCCGTATGCCACTGAAGCTCAAGGGAAAATTTTATAGGACGGCAATAAGGCCGGCGATGCTGTATGGCACAGAATGTTGGGCGGTGAAACATCAACACGTACACAAAATGGGTGTAGCGGAGATGAGGATGCTTCGTTGGATGTGTGGGCACACGAGAAAGGATAAGATTAGGAATGAGGATATCCGGGGTAAAGTAGGAGTAGCCGAAATTGAAGGAAAGATGAGAGAAAATCGGTTACGGTGGTTTGGACATGTGCAAAGAAGGCCTACTGACGCTCCGATTAGAAGATGCGACTATGGGACAGAGGTTCAGGGCCGAAGGGGTAGAGGAAGACCTAGGAAAACTTTGGAAGAGACTCTAAGAAAAGACTTAGAGTACTTGGATCTAACGAAGGACATGACACAGGATCGAGCACAATGGCGTTCTAAGATTCATATAGCCGATTCCACTCAGTGACTTGGATTTTCCAAGTCTCCAACCGAGAAGTTTTCCTCACTCGGAAAATTAAGGGAACACTACCCCAACCTACATGCTCCACTCAGAAAGCTTCAACATACAAGCTTCAACAAAAAGAAAATTCAAAGAACTTAGCGAAGAAGGTTTTGGTGTATTTAACACAATACGTTGAAATGAAGGAAAGCTTATTTATTGATATCCCCGATAAGCTACAAATATGTACATATACATGAGTCAAAATAAACACACAAGAGGGAGCCTTCACAAAGGTTGCTTAGGAGAAGTCTCAGTAGTCGGTAGAGCCCCCAGAAAGAGAAGGCACCGGAGGGGGATCATTTGGAGCCTCAGTACTGGACAGAACCCTAGAAGGAGGAGGCATCAGAGGTTGATCATTTGGAGCTTCATTACGCGGTACAGCCCCAGAAGACGAAGGCAATAAATGCCTTTGGAACAAACCCACAAATCTCTGATGATCAAGTAAAACCTGACCATCAGTTTCCTTCATCTGGTCAAGCTTCCTCTTCATGTTTGTAGCATAGTCATGTGCGAGCCGGTGCAACTGTTTATTTCTCATGCTTGAGCCCTCTAATCTCCTGTTTGAGACTCATCACTTCAGCCGCCAATGATTCAACTTGGCGGGTTCGAGCAAATAGGCGTTGGGCCATATTAGACACAGAACCTGCACACTGAACACTGAGAGCCAGCGAATCCTTAACAGCTAACTCATCAGACCGTTTGGAAAGTAGTCTGTTATCTTTGGGAGTGAGAAGGTTCCTGGCCACCACCGCAGCGGTCATATCATTCTTCATCACGGAATCCCCAACGGTAAGAGGACCAGTAAGGGAGACGAAGGATGGGCGCCATATGTTGTCTGGAGAAGGCGGGGCTGCCTCTTCAACAAGGTTCAAGTCAAAACGACGGTCGGAGGGGCCAGACATTTTCAAAGGTGTTGAAGAGAGAAGAGGTCGGACAAATCAAGATCTTAGAAGTGCAAGAATGAAGCTTCTACTGGTGGAGATTCAAGTGTGCTTTGGAACTTAATGCCAGCCCCTATAAAAAATCTGCACTCGACGGAGCTTCAGAAATCGAAGAGGGCGCCTGCTCAGAAATCGAAGAGGCGTTTGCTTTCTCAAAAGCTGGGCTGCTTAGAGATCACGAGGGTTGATCTCAGAAATCGAAGAGGCGTTTGCTTTCTCAAAAGTTGGGCTGCTCAAAGACCTCGAAGGCTGATCTCAGAAAATCGAAGAGGCGCTCGCTTTCTCAAAAGCTGGGCTCCCCAGAGACCACGAGGGCCGATCTCAGAAATCGAAGAGGCACCTACTTTTCCAGCCTTGTCAGCACCTGTCACACGCACACTCAGCTTTGCGGAAATTATGGGCAGTCTGTCGAAGACTTCTGGGGAAGTAGAAAACACATGAATCTTACTGTTCAATCACCCACTTCCCACACGCAACAATAGCTCATGGGTACCACAGATAACTTTGCCAAAGTTCTCTGCCAAAGTTGAGCACGTGAAGCTTGCAGCTCCCACTACATCGCTCTGACCAAGAAGGGTAAAAGAATAGCAAAGAAACAGCACTAACAAAGTTTATACCCATAAATTTTGAAGGTCTAGCTACCATATTATTACCCACAAGGGTAAAGGAATAGTACCACTGCTGGATAATTGGAAAGTCCCTGTGTGTCAACCTCTGTGCTTCGTGGCAAGGTAGACTAGCAAAACATGCCCAACCTTTACTCACATTCGAGAAAACACTCCCAATAAGATTGCTTGCTCCAAAATCGAAGAGGCACCGTCCTCCGAATCTCGAGAGCCAGACTCCCAACATGACTACTTTCTTAAAAATCGAAGAGAGGGTAAAGGAACAGTACCATTGCTGGATAATTGGAAAGTCCCTGTGTGTCAACCTCTGTGCTTCGTGGCAAGGTAGACTAGCAAACATGCCCAACCTTTACTCACATTCGAGAAAATACTCCTAACAAGATTGCTTGCTCCAAAAATCGAAGAGGCACCCGCCCTCCGAATCTCGAGAGCCAGACTCCCAACATGATTACTTTCTCAAAAATCGAAGAGACACTGCTCCCCGAATCTTCGAGAGCCAGACCCCCAGCATGATTGCTTTCTCAAAAATCGATGAGGCATCGTTCTCCGAATCAATCGAAGAGGCGCTCGCTTTCTCAAAAGCTGGGCTGCTTAGAGATCACGAGGGCCGATCTCAGAAATCGAAGAGGCACCTACTTTTCTAGCCTTGTCAGCACGTGTTACACGCACACTCAGCTTTGCAGAAATTATGGGCATTCTGTCGAAGACTTCTGGTGAAGTAGAAAGCACATGAATCTTACTGTTCAATCACCCACTTCCCACACGCAACAATAGCTCATGGGTACCACAGATAATTTTGCCAAAGTTCTCTGCCAAAGTTGAGCACGTGAAGCTTGCAACTCCCACTACATCGCTCTGACCAAGAAAGGTAAAAGAATAGCAAAGAAACAGCACTAACAAAGTTTAGACACATAAATTTTGAAGGTCTAGCTACCATATTATTACCCCACAAGGGTAAAGGAACAGTACCACTGCTGGATAATTGGAAAGTCCCTGTTTGTCAACCTATGTGCTTCGTGGCAAGGTAGACTAGCAAACATGCCCAACCTTTACTCACATTCGAGAAAACACTCCCAACAAGATTGCTTGCTCCAAAATCGAAGAGACACCGTCCTCCGAATCTCGAGAGCCAGACTCCCAACATGACTACTTTCTCAAAATCGAAGAGAGGGTAAAGGAACAGTACCATTGCTGGATAATTGGAAAGTCCCTGTGTGTCAACCTTTGTGCTTCGTGGCAAGGTAGACTAGCAAACATGCCCAACCTTTACTCACATTCGAGACAACACTCCCATCAGATTGCTTGCTCCAAAATCGAAGAGGCAACCGCCCTCCGAATCTCGAGAGCCAAACTCCCAACATGATTACTTTCTCAAAAAATCGAAGAGACACTGCTCTCCGAATCTCGAGAGCCAGACCCCCAGCATGATTGCTTTCTCAAAAATCGAAGAGGCATCGTTCTCCGAATCTCGAGAGCCAGATACCACAGACCACTTTTTCAAAGTGCTCTGACAGAGTTAAAACATATGAAACTGGCAGCTCCCACTACCGTGCTATGACCAAGCAGGGTAAAGGAATAACATTACTACTTCTTAGGGAGACTCCTATATATGTCGACCTCCATCCCCAACAGACAGGCAGACCTGCAAAAAATGCTCAACCCTTCATCATATCTGAGAGGGCACTCCCAACGAAGCCTTTCGAAATATTCAGCTTTCCTTCCCCCCGATAATACCTCTGCAAACAAGCTATACTAGAGCAAGAATATCTCATATCATCAGGGTTAAAAGCAAGAGTATCCCATATCATGCTTTTTCCCTGTCTTTTCCTTTGGCCTTGTTTTTACCTGCAAGACAAGGAGAAAGAGAGCAATCAGTCAGCACTTGGAATCAAGCTTCCAGCCAGGAACTGACTGCCTGGAACCCCTTACCTGATTACTTACCTGGCATTGCTCTCGAGTACTCATCTTCAACATCTTATATTTCCAGGGAAGATTCCGCATCTGCTTGAGGAACAGATAGGGCAAGTGCGAAGGATACAAGGAAGCATGTGGAGACAAGCGTACCAGCACACGTGCCGATACATCCATTACGCTGTCAAAAGCAAAAGTATCCCATATCAGCAGGGTGGAACGTACTCTAGATTTGATGGACTTGTTTTGACCCTCAAATTCTTCAGTCGGCCTTATACTCTGGAGGAAACCAGAAAACCCTCCAGCTCAGTTCAAGAATAAGCCTGTGGAAAGTTACTTCTTCAAAAGCAAAAGTATCTCATATCATCTCTTCTCATTTTTCTTCTCTTTATCCTTCATGCTGCTGCAAGATGGGGAGAAGGTGAACAATCAGTCGGAGCTCTGATTGCTTACCTTGTCTGTCACCTCTTTCAGCAGACCCCCTAGCTCGGCGACTTGGGGGACTCCTACTACATGGTTTGTATCGCGCTTGACCAAGCCTGAAACTACAAGTAAGCTTCAAGTGAAATTGATACATTACCTTGTGCATCTCCACCAGTTAAAGATACCACCCCTGGATGGAGGAAGAGTACTTCCAGAGAAGATGCCACATCTACCTATGAGACAGATAAGGCAAGTCAAGACGACACCACACTCCGATACTTAGAAGTTTCGTGATTACGAGATCATTCTCCCACAATATTTCCTAATGTCATTTGTACTAAATCATTCACTTGTACTCACTAAAGGAGAGCTTGAACCTATGTACTTGTGTAAACCCTTCACAATTAATGAGAACTCTTCTATTCCGTGGACGTAGCCAATCTGGGTGAACCACGTACATCTTGTGTTTGCTTTCCTATCTCTATCCATTTATATACTTATCCACGCTAATGACCGGAGCAATCTAGCGAAGATCACAAAAAGCGACCGTTTTCGCTACCTAGGATCTATCTTGCAAGAGAACGGAGAATTAGATGGAGATCTCAACCATAGAATACGAGCTGGATGGATGAAGTGTAAGAATGCATCCGGCGTGTTGTGTGACCGTCGTAGGCCACTGAAGCTCAAGGGAAAATTTTATAGGACGGCAATAAGGCCAGCGATGTTGTATGACACAGAATGTTGGGCGGTGAAGCATCAACACGTACACAAAATGGGTGTAGCGGAGATGAGGATGCTTCGTGGGATGTGTGGGCACACGAGAAAGGATAAGATTGGGAATGAGGATATCCGAGGTAAAGTAGGAGTAGCCGAAATTGTAGGAAAGATGAGAGAAAATCGGCTCCGATGATTTGGACATGTGCAAAGAAGGCCGAATGACGCTCCGGTTCGAAGATGTGACTACGGGACAGAGGTTCAGGGCCGAAGGGGTAGAGGAAGACCTAGGAAAACTTTGGAAGAGACTCTAAGAAAAGACTTAGAGTACTTGGATCTAACGGAGGACATGACACAAAACCGAGCGCAATGGCGTTCTAGGATTCATATAGCCGACCCCACTTAGTGGGAAAAGGCTTTGTTGTTGTTGTTGTTGTTGTTGTTGATCCAATAGTCAACGAGTGCAGATTCCTCCACCCCCAAAGACAATTAAAATCGTACCATTGAACTCTTTAAGGGACAACTGTTCCACGACTTTACTGTCTTCTTTTTTCCAAAAAGAAGGGTATGGTTGTGCATGTTGAAGTTGAATCATCCCTTGACCTTGCATTAGCGGGAGTTTATTGGTGACAAATCGATTAAGGTGTCGAAGAGTTTAGTTTAACAGAAAACCAGGAAGGAAAAGATGAGAAAACTGGTTAAAACTAACTAGCATTTTAAATGGAATGTCTCTTTGTTACCTTCTTGATATATTGTTTACTATTACTGTCCAGAATTTTCCTTGTTCCATCCCCTAACTTGATGCAAACTGCCACAGGAAATAGTTGTTGAATAATTATATTGTGCATTGTGCTGCACAGGATGAAACGGGGGTTTACAAGAACTTGCTTCAGGAGACTGCTCACAGAGCTGGATTGAACCTTCCTGTTTATACAACTGTTCGATCTGGACCTGGCCATGTGCCTGTGTTCTCATGTACAGTTGAGCTAGCAGGAATGAGCTTTACGGGGCAACCGGCTAGGACAAAGAAACAAGCTCAGAAAAATGCTGCAACTGCTGCTTGGGCAGCCCTGAAAAGATGTATGCATTTTCCTGTTATCTTTCTTTTTTTCTCTCTCTTTCTTCTAATTGCACGCTAGCAAACAAGCATTTTGTGGTTTGCCTTGAAAGATTGCATGCAGTATTGCGTTCTTTTGGCTGCTTAACAATTCAATCAATGAAATTTCCCAAATATGTATCCCATTGAATTGGGAGCAGCCTCTCCATAAATGGGGGTAAGGCTAGCCGACATTCACCTCTCCCAGACCCTGCGTAAAGCGGGAGCCTTGTGCACTGGGTACGACCTTTATGTATCCCATTGAAGGCCTATATATCTAATTGTTATGTTATCCATGCAGTGGCTCAACGTGGCTCGTCTTCTTCCTCGGTGGAGCCTAGAGGCAATGAAGAACAGGAACAAGTCATTATTGCTCGTATTCTTGGAAGTTTGCGGCCGTCTGAGTCTATTAATACTCAAAATGATTGCCGACATGGACAGCAAACATACATTCCCATCTTCCAGAAATCTACCCTGCCAACACCAAGCTTATATCCTATGCAATTCCATAACTGGGGTTATTCTAATTATTCCCCTGAAATAGGAATGTACGGATTGTGGCGGGAAGAGCAACTATTACAGCAACAAAATCGCCTGCTGGCGCTTCCTATTTTACCAGTTTCTCCATCTGTTCCTCAGATATTTCCATTTATGCAATCCGTGCTTCGCCCAGATAACTGTCTATACTTTCCAGCAAGAGGGCAAGAGTCGACCTCTGCGGGACCCAGAATTACAATTGCTACCTCAGGCCCTTCATTTTGCTTCTCAAACCATTTGGTTCCTAGCCCGCCGATGAGGGGCAAGTCCACGGTGACTATTCAAGAGATACAGGAAGAAAAGCCAGAAGAATCACCCAGGTACTCTCCTTCTATAGTTTCAGATCCCTTTAGTCCCGCAAGCAGCGGCGCTGAAGTAAGAGTCCAGGAACAAGTTCAGCATGAGAAACAGAACCTAGGAGAGTTAGAAAGCAAAATTGGAAACCTTCAGCTGGAATGCAACAACCCAACTGGGCAATCCGGACATGCTCACCCTAGAATCGTGGATTCTAGTTTTAGGCCAGTGGACTTAAGGTTACAAAATCCTCGTGGTTTCGAATCTTGTAGGCCCAATTTGAGGCCCCAAAATCCACCAAGAGTAAGTAGTGCTAGAAGTCTAAGGCCGCCATCTGCTGCAGAACCTGTAATAATCAGAACTGTAAGGCCCTCTTCTTCTCCGGGGTCTAGACCACAAAATTTTCCAAGCAGGAATCCTGCTCCGCCAAGAATGAGAACCGGGATCCCCTCATCTTCAGCCGCGCAATTGCCTGAAAGAATGCAACTGGGAGGACTACGACCTAGCTTCATGGCACCAGCTGTTCGAATTAGATCAGTTGTACCAGTTTGTTCAGCCCCACCAGCAAGAAAAATGTCAAGTTCCAGCCGGGAGAGAGTGTTACCGGAGATGGAGAAGAAGGATACTAATCAAGACGACGTGCCAAAAGAAAGTTGAGAGCTTGGTAAGCTTCATTTTTTATCCAAAATTCCAAACATACATAATACAGAAGTTCTAATAGATGTGATTAGTTTATCTTGTGAGGAACCACAGCAGTTTGAGGCGCGGAAGCCATTGATGCTTCTGCAAAGTAATTTGAATAAATGAGTCGTTTTTTCGGTTTCGGAATTCTCCATGTGTAAGTTTCATACTGTTCTTTGAGCTTAATCAGGTTGAGACATTGATTCTGAATTTTCATAAATATGAATGAGATATATATACTGGCAGGCAGAAGTTGTAAGACAATTAGCTTTATATAATCGAAAGGGAACGTTGTTGCATATATTAATATGTTTGTTTTTTTTGAATTAAGTAATACAAATATTCACTGCAAATGCAAGAACAAGCAGCATCAGATCAGTCATTCGTCACACGCCCACATCGACGCTAATGAATAGTTACATAAGCTAATGAATGGTTACATTGGGACAAGGGTGATGGTGGTCCCAAGACCACCCGAGGCCGGAAAACAAGTATGCTAAGGTTTTTTTGGGACCTTCCGAGAATATGGTATAAATTTTTTTGTGCGCATCAAGTGTTTAATGTAAGATCTGCTAGACATATCTTAGCAACACTTGACAGGTTGTGTCGACAATACTCGATAAATGCTCTTGATGACACTCATCAGATTGCTCAACAAATGTCAATATCTATCGACATATGCGCAACATGGTTTGGCTGATGACAAGAAGCCTACCAAGTGTTAAATGAAATACCTTCGTAAGTAAACTAAAAATTGTTTATGCGCTTCACGCTATGCTTGTATCTTAAAAGTTGAACCTTGAACATTGAGACCCCCTAAGTTTCAAATCATATAGCTCGTTAGATAATTATGTTGTTTTTGCGAGAGATGACAGAGGGGAAATACGTGGATATAGAATGATATACAAAATAAAAACTTGAAACCATATTTAGCCCAAAATTTCCATCAAAGGAGAAATTTTTGGGTTTGGATGAACAAAGTATGTGGACATCTGGTCAAAAGACACAAACATGAACCTGCGTTGGAAAAAAGAAAAGAAACTTATATTGAACAATTTTATTGCTATCGTGGTGTATCAGGCCGCTAAAATAAGGTAATATACACACATGGTATTATACTTTTTAGTATTTGAGATATCACAGTAACAGTGAATCCGTTCAATTTAAATTTGGGAACTCACAAACGTTGTGTGTTCATGGACCCACAGCACATATGGGCCGTCGTTCAAAACTTATAAGATCCTCTTTCAATGGAAGGCCCAAAAATTTCAATCCAATTTCAGCCCTAAACGAGTGAGCCCTATATTTGTAACTAGAAAAAACACCTGTGAAAAACCCCCTGAAAACCCTAATGTATCAAGTGTTATGAATCTATACCCAACCGTTCTGCACCCGCCTTGTATTCTTGCCACGTAAAGAGGCGAGGCAGTCTTTTTAACTTCTTAGACGAAAATGTCCAGTGTATATATGTAAAAGCCCAAAATTACCCCTGTCTGCGACAAGGGTGTTCCCTTCATCCTATGCAACCCATGAGATACTCGCAATTTGGGAATCCTCCAATTATCGTATATCGTGTGATCAGAAATTATTGTAATTTTTTATTTAAAATTAAATATAAATAGTATCTGATAAAAATTAATCGCACAATGTATGTATGATGAACGGATGTGATTGGAGGATCCCCATCCTCACAAAATGATCCGGCGAGGATCCTCTCTCGTATATAAACGCAATATAAATATCTCTACAAATTCGTCTCCTTTAAACCCTAGACCCTCGCTTCTCTGCTCCCTCCTTCTCCTACTTCCTCACCCTTCTTTCAGACGCAGCTCAGCACAGAGAAAGGTATGAAATTACTATTTTATTCCCTCTCTCCCTCTCCCCCCCCTCTACACACACATACACACACACATATATGCATGTAGATATTGGTGGGTGCTTGTTTTGTTCCTGTGAAAAGTATGAATTTTGAAGTTTGAAAATTGATCAGTGATGTGGGTTTTGCATAAAGATTTGAGATTGTTTGTGTTTTGGGTATATTTGCTAGGAATTTTTGTGGGTTTTTTTTTCACTGCTATTTGAGTTGGTGTGTGATTATAATAAAAATGCTGGGCTGGAGATGCGATGATTGATCTGACGGGTGATTTTGGATTGTATTGTGCTTGGTGTAGGTGTGTTTTGAGGAGTAGGAAAAATGCTCGTCTTGTTCGAGACTCCGGCGGGGTTTGCCTTATTTAAAGTGCTGGATGAAGGGAAGCTCTCCAAAGTTGAGGTAACTGCGGTCTTCAAACTGTGTTTATATATGTATTTTCTATCTGGTTTTTCAGAAGAATATAACAAAATGTGAAAAGAAATCTAATTTTTGAGTTCGGGTTTACATCGGTTCTTCTGTTTATCTTTTTTTTTTTTTTCGGTTTTTAAGTGCTGGGTCTGATTGCTTTTCTCCTATTAATTGGTGTTGCAGGACTTATGGAAGGATTTTTCAAGTGCAGATAAAGCTAGACAGGTATCTGTCAGTCTGTCTTTTTAATATGTATATGCATTTTATTTATATCGAAAGCTCATCCTTATTGATTGCTGTTGCACATGATATCGGCACTGTGCAGTTTTTACTTCCAGATTGGTTTCCTTCGTGGTTTAAAATAAGTTCTCTCGTTTATCTGCTGGATTTGAGCATTTTGTTAGTTATATATTTAATCTGTATATGTGTTGGTTTAGGTTGTGAAACTGAAAGCTTTCTCCAAGTTTGAGAATACATCAGAAGCTTTGGAAGCAGCAACCCTGTTGATTGACAGTAAACCCAGCAAAGGACTACGCAAATTCTTGAAAGCGCACTGCAGTGGTGAGACGCTAGCTGTTTCCGATTCTAAGCTTGGAAACATCATTAAGGAAAAACTGGTATGCCACTGTTCTGCCATGGAGAAAGTTGGACATTTTTGTGAAACATTGGGTCCGTTGTGAAACATTGGACATATTATTTAAGTCGAGCATTTAATTTCTTGCAGAAAATAGACTGTGTTCACAACAATTCTGTGATGGAGTTGATGAGAGGTGTAAGAGCTCAGTTGACTGAGCTCATAGCTGGTCTACAAGTTCAAGATCTGGCACCAATGAGCTTGGGTTTATCTCACAGCTTATCTCGATTCAAGCTCAAGTTCAGTGCTGATAAGGTGTGTGGCTATGAATACATTTTTTTATCTTTTCAGAATGGAGTAATGGTATTGGGCGGTGCATTGTTTTGTCATAATATCAGTATATGATTTGGTCATTCAAATATGTACTACCAGTGCGTTGTAAACTTGTAATGTATGTGGCTCTGTGCTTTCATTACCTGCTTTCACTTTCTAATAAAGAAAAGAAAAGGCAGAAAGAGAGTGTATTTAGTTCTGATTCTCTTTGTTGCCTGCCGTGTGTTTTTACTCTACCGCATACATGTCGTAGAATAGCAAGAAAAGATATGATCAGTTTGTTGGTTTTTCTTACTTGGTGTTGGTAGAGGACTGATACTGAATTCAGTAAAATGAAAGCTAAGTTGCCGGAAATGATGTTCAGTCAGTTTTGTATACTGTAAATAGATGTTTCTGGACAGCTGCCTGAAAGTCCAATAGGTTTGCTATACTGTGAATATATGTTGCAGGACTATATTGTGGTTCATCAATGTATCGTAAACCTAATATAAGTTACTGTGTTTCAGGTTGATACAATGGTTATTCAAGCCATTGGTTTGCTTGATGATCTTGATAAAGAGCTAAATACATATGCAATGAGGGTTCGAGAATGGTATGGTTGGCATTTTCCAGAGCTTGCTAAGATTGTTCAGGACAACATCCTTTATGCAAAGGCAGTGAAGCTGATGGGCTATCGTTCTAATGCTGCAAAGCTTGACTTCTCCGAGGTAGGATTTGGTGATTTATGTGTTTCCATTGTATGGACCTTATATATATGATTGAATATTCTTTATGATCAAGTTACTGTAGATGAATACTCTTTATGGCCGAAGGGTGCCTTCTTTTATCATCATACTATTTCTTGGTAGAGAACCCATTATATCTGTTATAATAACAGATTTAATGGTAGTAATCTTGTTATATCTGATATAAGGCAACAGATGGTGATGCTGATAATGGATCTCATTGTTCTTGGTCCAATTATAACAGATATTGCCAGAGGAGGTTGAAACTGAATTGAAGGATGCGGCAATGATATCCATGGGAACAGAAGTTAGCGAGCTTGATTTGATGAACATCAAAGAGCTCTGTGACCAAGTCCTTTCTCTCTCTGAGTACAGAGCTCAGCTATATGACTATTTGAAAAATAGGATGAACACCATTGCACCAAATTTGACTGCTCTTGTTGGAGAGCTCGTCGGTGCTCGCCTCATTTCCCATGGTGGTAGCTTGTTGAACCTTGCAAAGCAGCCTGGAAGCACAGTTCAGATTCTTGGAGCTGAAAAGGCCCTCTTCAGAGCACTGAAGACCAAGCATGCAACACCTAAATATGGGCTTATCTACCATGCATCCTTGATTGGTAAAGCAGCACCAAAGCTGAAGGGTAAAATTTCTCGGTCACTTGCTAGTAAAGCTGCGTTGGCAATTCGAGTTGATGCTCTTGGAGACGGTCAAGATAACTCAATGGGAGTGGAAAATTATCAAAAGGTATATCTTGCTTCTCATTATTTCTTTTTAACACTTTGAAGCCACCTGCTTATAGAGAAACATCTGCACAGCTTGAAGCACGGTTAAGGAATCTTGAAGGCAGAGAATTAGGTCACCATGCTGGGTCAGCTAAAGGCAAACCAAAGATTGAAGTCTATGACAAGGATCGCAAGAAGGGAGCCGCAGGATTGATAACTGCTGCCAAGGTCTGATATTTTTCTTGTGGATGTTTATTTCAGTTTGTCAGTCGATTATTATTTACCCTTTTTCGTTCTTCGCAGGCATATAATCCTGCAGCAGATTCGGTTCTTGGGAAAACGACACCTTCCAAGACCGAGAAACCAGTTGCCGAGGTTCCTGTCGCTGAAGATAAGAAAGAGAAGAAGAAAAAGAAGAGGAAGGCTGATGACGAGGACATGCCTGACGGAAATGGCAATGTGGAACCCGAAGTTGAGGAGCCTGCAAAGAAGGAAAAGAAGAAGAAAAAGAAGCATTCAGCTGATGATGCCGAAGTAGTTGCTGCAGTTGAAAATGAAGACGCGGGAGACAAGAAGAAGAGGAAAAGAAAGCATGCTGAAGAAGAAGAAACGGAGGTGCCAAGCGAGAAGAAAGAGAAAAAGAAGAAGAAGAAGAGCAAGGATTGATGAGTTTTTAAAAGTTGTATCGAACGACTCCGGCAAATTTTGTTCAACTATAGGCAATCAGTGACACAGCTTTTCTATATATAAAATTTAGTCCATGTTGTTTCGATTTATTTGCTAGTAATGTGGTCGTTTGAAGCTACTTCTGCAGTTCTGTATCCTCTAATTTCTCATGGACAAAAATGTTGCATGAAGCTGGTCAATGAAACTTGCTGCAATCGCAATTTGCAATTTTAGTTTGTCTTTGGCTGTAGAAGAATGAAAAGGCCTAACTTTTTTACTTTACAAGGTGTGGAACCGCAACTTAACAAATGCGTGGAATATGCGCATTTGGGGTATGCTATCTACGCATCATTTTTTACTTCTCTCACCCTTCTTGTTAATTTCTGTCATCTGATATTTTTTTAATTCATCTGATCCGACGGTCGAAAATTAAAAAGGTGTGAGAGAAGTAAAAATGGGTGTGTGGATATCACATCCTGCGCATTTTTATGTGAAATTGAGAATTTTATTATGCTTTATCATGTGAAAGTGAGAATTTTGCATTGAGTTATATGCATTATTACAGATTTGAGAATTTCAAAAAATGATTTATTATTAGTACTTCGTAATAATCTCATTTATACTGTGTTGGCTAAAGAAAAAGAAATATGTTGACCTTCTTGTCTACATGAAAATGATTAAAAACGATGATGAAAAAATTCGAATCCTGAGACCTCCTTCAAAGTTGTTTGGTAGAGTAATCAATCTCGAAGAACTTAATGGATTTTAAGGAAAGTAAGGGTTTGTCCGGTAACATTTTGCAAAATAATTTTTGAAAAATTGTTTTTTAAATGAAAGCGACATATTGTGATTTGAAAATAGGTATGGTAATTTAATCTATGAATGATTTTAGATAATAAAAACATGAAAAACGTGTCTAGTATCAAATGTCAAATATAGATATAATTGTGGCAGTGGTTTAAGGATGATATGGTTGAGACGAGAGTGGTGCGGCTGCGATGATGGTAGAAGATGATTGTGTTAACAATGGTGTGAAATTGTGAATCAAAAGTTCACAGCTTTCTTAATCTGAATCATTTCATTTATATTATAAAAAGTGGCAAAACTAGCATTATTCTAGGTATAAACTGTATTTTTTTTTCAAAATTAAACGCACACCATATTAATATATAAAATTTCATCAAATAAAAATATAATATAATAAAAACAAAAAGTAAAAAACAAATTCCATTTGCCCAGAAATTTAGTAATATAAATCGATTCTTTGCTTTCTTTGTTTGTTTGGAGAGAGAGAGAGAGAGAGAGAGGGATTGAGGGAGAAGATTAGAAAGAGAGTTGTCGGCTCTGACTTGACGAAAATTTGGGAGATCTGCTGAGGCTTGAGCCTGTGCTGCTCCTTTTATTCGTCGTCTTGTCCGAGCCACCGAGAAAGGACGCCAAACTCCATTCCAAAACAAAAACCTCACTTAACCAATCATACCAATCACAGATTCAACTCAATTCACAGTAAGTTCTTTAACTCTCTCTCTCTCTCTCTCTCTCTCTCTCTGTCTCTCTAAATCCCATTTCCTTTTTTCCAGACTCACTTTTTTTCTTTAGAACAAGTCTATCACTTTCTCGGGAAAATCTCTTTCTTTCCTTCACTTTCTCATTACCCAGATCAGTTTGTTTTGTTACTTCGTGCTGAATCTTGAAGAAACCCAGTTCCAAAATTGTGAATTTTAGCTGCCCTTTTGTTGGTTTTTCTGGTTTTTAGATGATTTTGATTACTGGGTTGTGCTAATCACATGGGGTTTAGTGTAAATATGTGATCTTTGGTGGTTGTTTTGTGATGATTTTTAGTTGTGGACTGATTGTTGAGTGTTTATGTGTGGATTTTTGGAGGTTAGTTTTTAATTGTTGCAAATTGGTTGATTTTGTAGTGGTTAAATTGTAAAGGAAGAGCTTTTTTGCATTGACCATGTTGGATGAGGCTTAGATTCAAGAATGGGCTGTGTGATTAGTAGAGAAGCTTCTTCGGGAGTCAATTCTGAGTCGAAGGGGGAGAGGAGGGATTTGAGTGTAGAGTCTACTGGGAAGGTAGATGCTGTTGTGGTGCCGAAGGTAGATAGTAAAACCGCCGAGGTTCATGTTGGTGGGGGAGAGGGCAAGAAGGAGGAGAATGTCCATGGAGGTGAGAAACCTCCGAGGGGGGAGAGAAGGCGATCGAAGCCAAACCCGAGGTCAGGTAATGTACCAAAGCAATCGCGTGGCGCCCAAGTGGCGGCCGGCTGGCCACCCTGGCTCACTGAGGCATGTGGGGAGGCGCTCAATGGGTGGATTCCACGGAAAGCAGACACGTTTGAGAAAATTGATAAGGTAGGTTTTCATTCTTCTTTTTATGGAAAAGTTTTTTTTTTAAAAAAATTTTATGAAAAAGTTGATGTTGTGATTCTTTGCTTGTTTTCCTAAAATGATGCGACAAATATGGTTTTTACGAAATTAACATAATTATGGTCGGTTGTTATGAACTGATCGGACAATGTGATAAGTCAGATCATTTGAGATGCATTCTTCAAGGTTTTCTTCTTTGGAATGCCTATTACAAATGAGGCGGCCATAAATTGCAATTAATTGAACAATGCCTATCACTTTTATCTTCATGGTATGCTCTTGGTTTATGTATTCTTTTTGTGCATGATTTTGATTTCTTTCATTTTCTTTTCCCTGATGTTAGATTGGGTCAGGAACGTATAGCAATGTGTACAAAGCTAAAGATATGTTGACGGGGAAAATTGTTGCCCTAAAGAAAGTTAGATTTGACAATTTGGAGCCCGAGAGCGTGAGATTTATGGCTAGAGAAATTCTAATTTTGCGGAGATTGGATCATATCAATGTTGTAAAGTTGGAGGGTCTGGTTACGTCAAGAATGTCATGTAGTTTGTACCTGGTGTTGGAATACATGGAGCATGATCTAGCTGGGCTTGCTGCAAGCCCCGAAATTAAATTTACAGAACCACAGGTTAGCCAGTATTTCGCTAATCTTTGAAGTCCATTTACCACTTTTAAAATTATATAAATGGTTTATGGTACTTTTCTGATCTTTTGAAATTTGATGCATCTCACAATTCAAATTTCAGGTAAAATGTTACATGCATCAACTTCTATCTGGACTTGAGCACTGTCACAACCGTGGTGTGCTTCACCGTGACATTAAAGGATCAAATCTTTTGATTGACAATGGAGGAGTACTTAAAATTGCTGACTTTGGATTGGCTTCTTTTTTTGATCCAAACCATAAGCATCCAATGACTAGTCGGGTGGTTACTCTATGGTATCGACCTCCCGAGCTCCTTCTTGGGGCTACTGATTACGGTGTGGGTGTGGACCTCTGGAGTGCAGGTTGCATTTTAGCGGAGTTACTAGCTGGGAAGCCTATCATGCCTGGTCGTACCGAGGTAACTTGATGACTCTCTTTTTGCATTTGCTTTTATCCTTGCTTGTAAAAACTAAATTTGTGGGAAGACTTTTAACTACTAATGTTTAAAATGGAGAGATCGCCAGGTAATTTATGGCTATTGCATTGGAATGGTCAATGCTCACATCTAGCTAGTTGACTTTCATAAGACTGAGTTTCTTGTGTTCAGTTGGTTAAAATGGATGTTTGAAGCTACAACCTTATCCAGTTTTCATTGTTTGTAAGTTTTAAAATGCTGAGGTGATAACATTTTAGGGTTTCTCACTGACTAAACTTCTGACATAACTGTAGAGCATATCTCACATCTTTGCTGCTCACGTAGGTGGAGCAACTACATAAGATATACAAACTATGTGGTTCACCTTCAGATGAATACTGGAGGAAAGCAAAGTTGCCCAATGCAACGCTATTTAGGCCTCGGGAGCCTTACAGAAGATACATAAGAGAAGCATTCAAAGATTTTCCCCCATCTTCATTTCCCCTTATCGAAACTCTTCTTGCAATTGATCCAGCAGAACGTCAGACAGCCACAGCTGCATTGAGTAGTGTGGTGAGTTCTTATACTATGATATTGTTTTCTAATTTCAGGTTCTTGATACTGTATGGCTGCTTTCTATGTACTCTAGTTCTCTCTACCGGCTTAATCAACCAGAACACATCTTGGTTTCTTGACAGTAGACTTGTCGGATTTAGATTCAACACTGATAATTACTTTCTGCATCTCTTCTTTTGATTTTATATTTTGCAGTCGGGAATGGTTAATGAGACTAAGCGCTCCTTAGACTGTCGCCCACTTACCTGCCTAGAATTGGGGCCCAAGTCACATCTCATAGTGGGGTCCCTAACCATCGCTTTAGAGTTTAGATTATAGTTATGCTAATTGGATCCATATGTTGATCCATGCCTGCAACAATGAAAATCATGTGCGCGCTAATTGATGGTTATTTGCAGCTATTATGATTCCTTTGATAAATGTGCTTACATACTCTGTTTGCTCTTTCTTTCCTCATTTGCAGTTTTTCCTGTCAGAGCCTTATGCTTGTGAACCTTCTAGCCTCCCAAAGTATCCCCCAACCAAAGAAATAGACGCCAAACGCCGGGACGATGAAGCTCGTAGGTATGGATCTTGTTGACTTTTTGTTCTTTCACCTTCTGATATCTTGCTGTTAATGACTACTTATTTAGCATAAATCATGCATGTTGTCAGAGCCTTGACCTTTGAGGATAGAGTAAAAATAGGTCAATAAGACACCTCTTTTGTCTAAAGTTACTCATTTTCTGGTTTTCTATGTAAACTTTCCCTGAGACATCTCTCACTCTCTCGCACAGATTCTTTCTGTCATGTTAGCCCTCGAGTGCAAACATGCATTTCTGCTGTCTCGAAACATTTGTAGCTAATTTGTTACTGTTGTTCGTCTTAGTATATACCATTTTGGCAAAATACTTATTTTGGTATATTACTTGTCTTGAAGACATTTCTGAAATAGGCAATGTTTGATAGATACTCAACCACCATAAGCGAAATTAATTTTATAAACACACTTATCTTTATAATGTGCGAAGTCTGACTAGCACAATTTTTGGTGGTTGTGCAGACTACGAGCTGCTGGTAGATCCCAGGCTGATGGTCCAAAGAAAATACGCACACGGGAACGGGCTCCTAGGGGTGGTATGCCGGCTCCAGAAGCCAATGCGGAGCTTCAGTCCAATATTGATGTATGTCCAATAAGTTGCCTCTATCAATTATTGTGTTATCTTTTAACTTTGACCCTTCCATTTGCATAAACATCCTTCTTTCGCTAGTCAAGAACATGCAAATGCTTCTAGATTATGTATCCGTTAAAAAAGATAAATGAAGTAGAAGCGGCCTAGCTTTATGAATAGATTACTGCTAAGATGCCGATGAGATTAACCTGTTTGGTTTGCCATATGTAAATGAGTTTCGATTTAATGCACTTGGTGTCTATATTCTTACACATGACATGACCATTTGGCCGACTCTGGCATTAGTTATATAATTCAGGTTTCGATTTATAAGTATGTTAACACCTCAGTTTTCTTCTGAAACAGAGAAGGCGCCTAATTACGCATGCAAATGCAAAGAGCAAAAGCGAAAAGTTTCCTCCGCCACATCAGGATGGAGCAGTTGGCTACCCTTTGGGATCTTCGCATCATTTTGATCCTGCCCTCGTTCCTCCTGATGTCCCTTTCAGTACAACCTCATTCAGTTATCCTAAAGAATCACTACAGGCTTGGTCAGGTCCGTTGGTCGAACCTGCTTCTGCCGGTGGTCCAAGACGGAAGAAGCATACTGGACTCGATGGGCGAGAAACTTCAAAATCCTATACAGGAAACCTTAGAGAGAAACATGACAATGCTCGTGTTAAGGGAAAGAGAAGTGCGGCTTGAAACCGAGTTCATACGAGGGAGCATAGTTACAGAGAGTTTCTGGAAAAGTGAATTTATCATCCCCAGCTTCTAGCAGTGTATTTTTCCATCAGAAATGCAGGGGTAAATACCTTCTTTTTTTTAAAAAAAATTTATAAATCCCAATTAGCTTCTCTCTTTTTTTTTTGCCCCAATACTTACAAGACATGGAATTTTTGTTTTGTTTGTTCTTTTTTCAATTTGTTGGTGAGATTGGTGTGAGAAATTGCCTCTGTTATGTACATCTTCATCTTTTGATTCTTTTTTTCCCAGTTTGTGGTGTTGGAAACTTATGCTTAGAGTAGTGAAATGATTTAGTAAAGAGTTGCGTTATATACGCCAAACTTCTTCGTCAAGTTTTGTTCATCAAAGGATGTCGGTTATTTATTTGAGTATTCACACCCTCGTGGACTCAACATTTATCCATTTTTCTTTCTTAAAAAGATGACAACTGGTGGCGAACCACGGTCATCCATCTCTTTCAGGCCCGGATGAGACAAATTGGGAATCCACCCCTTCATAGCTTACGAAACACCGAACCCAGGACTTCTTGTTCTGTTTTTTAAAGAGCCGTTGTTTGCACTTTTTCACTGGACTATGGGCTGGTTTGGTACTGAGGTGTTTTTATAAAAAGTGGGTATAAAAAAAAAACTGAGCTCAAAAAAACTGTTCGGTAAACACTTTATAACGTGTTTTTACAGTTTTAGGTGAAGAAAAAAAACTGAAAACGTGAAGCAATAAAAATGAGCTTATTCTTACAGCACAGCAGAAGTAGTTTATTTTTTTTAAAACACAACGATACCAAATCAGCCCTTGTGGTTGGACTTTATCCAACCTAAGAATTGACTAAAAAAATTCGGACGAAATTTGAAATTACAACTCTGAGATGAACCTTTCATTAAAGCAACCACAGAAAGGCAAAAGTAGAAATAAAAAAACTAACAAATTCTTTGCCCAAAAAATTCAAAAGAATGCTGACCCAAAATATTTTCCTTTTATTTATTAAATATAAAGAGAAATGGTATAAGGTATTGGACCAATCATGGTATCACATTTGGCAAATATTTTATTATATTCTATTTTCATGCTTTTAATTTATTTTTCTCATATTTGAAAATTAGTATCTTCCCAACAAACACGTTTTATTTTGGATAAATTATACATCTTAAAAATCCCCAATCCTAAAATGTAAAATAAATGAACACAATGCAGTGCCTCAAAACCCAACTTTTTTAATCAACACATTCTAAATTACTCTAATTTACAAAAATAAAAACTAGTTTAAATTTAATTCAACGGGACATACAAACTAGCCTAACCTATCTAACCTAACTCAACCCGAATGCATTCATTGCGGACACGAGATACATACTTAAATGCCGGCGAGCAGAAAATTTAACGGTTTCCCAACTGACCTAACCCGCAATTACAAGCAGATTAAAATAAAAAATTTAATTGAAATTGGTTAGCAAAGAAGGGAAAAAAAAAAAAAAAAAAACTACACAAAAAAGAGTCATTAAATTAAATTAAAACCCCCACTAAACACAGCACTGAGCACTCCCTAAAACCGCCAGTAAAACTTCCATAGCTCTCTCTCTCCTCCCTCTCTCTCTCTCTTTCTCTCTCTCTCCTCCACACATACAGTGGGTTCTTTCTTTCGGTTGCAGAAAAATCCACGATCGTCATCTTACTCTCTCTCTCTACAGAAACCAAGAAAAACTCTTGGGGGCTAATACCATAAAAATCAGAAGGCAAAAGCAATGGAAGAGAGCAGCAACAGCAACACAGCGGCTAGCAGGGTCGCCCAAGCCATTGCCGTAGCTCTCGACTGGAGCTCCACTCCCGACGCCCGCAAAGCAGCCGTTGCTTTCCTCGAATCGGTACTCTTTCTTTCTGTTCTCTGACTAGAAACTTTACCTGTGCTTTATTAGAACTACAACCCGTCTTTCTCTCTCTAGAAATTTGTAATTTGGTTGCTTTTGTTAAATGGGTTTCTGATGAATAGTATGAAATGAAATGTAAATTCTTTAATCGCATTCTTAAAATTTCAACTTGAAAGAGTTTATAGGATGATTTCGTTGTTTTCGGGTGGAGTTTCAGTATGTTAATTGGTATTTTGAAGTGTTGAAAGGCTATGGTGTTATGCAATCTCTTACTTGGTTTAAGGAGCTGTCTCATCTTCCATTGTTGATTATTCCTTCTGGTCAATTTGTGCAGATTAAGACCGGAGATGTGCGGATTTTGGCAAACGCTGCGTTTCTTCTAGTGAAGAAGGATTGGTCTTCCGAAATTCGGTTGCATGCATTTAAGATGTTACAGGTATATGATCATAAGGAATGTTCTTTATACAGATTTCTATTGATTTGTAACTATGTTAGTATTTTTGTTTGAACCAAAGGCCATTGTCGGGAGTTCAAATTTGAAATTTGAAAATGCAGTTTTTATTAGGAACTAAAACATAACCGCGTCAATTATTCTTTTGTTTTCTTCAATAATGTAATGAGGTGAAATCATATTTTTTTTTACTATTTAAGTGGTCTAGTTGGACTGTTGGAGATGATTTGGTCATACGATCTATGATCAAAAGGTTGTGGGACTGGTTTCCCTTAACATCCAATGCTCCTGGCAATGTAAATTATTTTGCCCTTGATGTCATATTTTAAGTTTTGCTCCCCCCACCTTATTGGGATCATAATAAAGGAAGAAGGGCAGGGTACAAACATAGTGTTCAAAGGGCACAAAGTTTCTAGAAAAGAAAAGGTTGAAGCTTTAGAATCTGAGATGTAAAAGCAGTTTCCTGATAGTTCTCAATTTCTGTAGAAAATGCCAAAACCCTGATTGATGTAAACTTGTTGTTACGATTTCCAAAATAGGTTTCTGTCTCCCTGTATGATTGCGCTTTCTAGTTCTGTCTGAAACATTTAGCATCTAGTTATATAACCATGTAAAGTTCTGTGGTATTAGTAGTGTAACAAGAATTGCATATTTTTGTGCAGCATTTGGTCCGATTGCGGTGGGAAGAACTAAGCCCTACAGAGCGTAGAAACTTTGCAAATATCACAGTCGATTTAATGTCTGATATTGCAAGTCCTAGTGAGGAGTGGGCTTTAAAAAGTCAGACAGCAGCCCTTACTGCCGAGGTTTACACAGCAGTTCTTTTGACTCTATTCAAACTGCCAATGGTTAGTTTTCCATTGTAATACTCACCTGTTTTAATCTGTTGCAGATGGTTAGAAGGGAAGGACTAAATCTATGGCAAGAATTGTTTCCAACTTTGGTTTCATTATCCTCCAAGGGTCCTATTCAAGTAAATATTTTTCCTCCTTGTTCACTCTCTTTCATTTAAAACATGTTTAGGTTATCACCTTACTTTCTACTCCTCATTGATATTAGGCTGAGTTGGTCTCCATGATGCTAAGGTGGCTTCCTGAAGATATTACTGTTCACAATGAAGACTTGGAAGGTTTATTCAGAAATGTGTCTTGTGCACTCTTTCCTCTTGCCTGTGAATTGCGTGTGTGTATGCATGTGATGCTTGTTCTCTGGATTTAGATTGCTGCATACCTTATTCTGATTCTTAATGGTTAATACAGGAGATCGGAGAAGGCTTTTGCTGCGTGGGCTGACCCAATCTTTACCTGAAATTTTGCCTTTATTATACACTGTATGTCTGGCTCCTTAATTTTAATAGAAGAAGTTGCATACAATGGAGTTGTCCTAATGAATTAAAATGTGCAGTTACTAGAGAGGCACTTTGGAGCTGCATTGAGTGAAGCAGGAAAACAACAATTTGACCTTGCAAAACAACATGCTGCGACAGTAACAGCTACTTTGAATGCTGTTAATGCATATTCTGAATGGGCTCCATTGCCTGATCTTGCTAAATCTGGTATAATTCATGGGTATGGTATCCTACTTTGAAGTTTTGGTGGATTCTGATTTGAAGCTGTTGGCAAGTGTCTCTTTCTTATCTCCTCTCTCTCTCTCTCTCTGTACAGGTGTGGTTTCTTACTTTCTTCACCTGACTTTCGTCTTCATGCTTGTGAGTTTTTCAAACTTGTTTCCCAAAGGTACGAAATATAGTATTGTCAATTGTTTATAAATTATGTGTTTTCCACTTCTTAAGACATTTCCGTAACAGTTGTGTTATCCTGATTTATGTCATGCAGGAAGAGACCTATTGATGATACCTCTGCTCCCGAATTTGATTCTGCAATCAGTAATATCTTTCAAATATTGATGAATGTCTCCAAAGAATTTTTGTACATATCTAGCTCCGGTACTGGGGTAATTGATGAAAGCAATATTGAGTTTGTGGAATATATATGTGAAAGTATGGTGTCTTTGGGTTCCACAAACTTGCAATGTATTGCTGGTGATAGCATTGTGCTACCACTTTATGTACAACAGGTAACTAGAACATCGGGCTATATGCAACTCTTTGCTGCTTGTTCATTTGGTTCTGTCAACAAGTGATTGGTTATTGAAATAGAATATTACTAAATTTATTCTTTTTTATTATCAGATGCTGGGGTTTTTCCAACATTTTAAGCTAGCTCTTCATTTTCAATCTCTCAACTTTTGGCTGGTATGAAGATAATCTCCCAATTATTGCTGTAATGTACCAGTAACTGAGACTATGTCATACGCTACATACCATGTTTAATCGTCCTTCATGTTTATGTGTGTGTTTAGGCGCTAATGAGAGACTTGATGTCAAAGCCAAAGGCTGTTGCTCACTCAGCTGGAGATGGTTCTGATCCGGTCGATTTTGAAAAGAGAAAAATCTTAAGTTTTTTGAATGATGAAATATGTAGTGCAATTCTGGATGTATCTTTCCAACACATGCTCAAGAGAGAAAAAGTAATTCACGGAACAACATTTTCTTTGGGGCAGTTGGAATTATGGAGTGATGATGTTGAGGACAAGGGGACTTTTGGCCAGTATCGTTCAAAGTTGGTAAGTAGTTCATAGAACTTAGATATTTTTGTTTCTGCATATTGGCTCATGCTTCTTCAGTTCAGTAAGCATAAAATTTTGTACGACATGTATAGGTTCTCTGGAATAGGATTCTGTTAAATAATTAACTCCATGTACAGATACATGGATGGGTACATTCCTTGACTTTGTTAGTAATTGCCATTCAGATTAGAGGATCCATTAAAGTAACCTTGAAATCTAGCTCATTTCATTTCATGTTGACCATTATTGCCGTCTTGCATCATATAAGAAATTTCTCTTTGTTCTGGTTTACACTAGAAGAACTCTTGAAAATAGTTCACCTGACTTTCCTTGGCCTGCATTTTTCAAATGTTTCTTTCCCTGATGAATGCTCTTAATGCAGTTAGAACTGATT